TTAAATTTTGAGCCTTATTTTGAATTTTAAAACAATTAAAAATAATTGAAAATTTCAAAAATATCAAAATATTTCAAAATGTACCTAATTGCTCTCTTATCACTTGGGAGTTATCACTTGGGAGTCATTAAAATAATTTTCCTAATTTTTTCTAAGTTAAAATTAAATTGTAAAGGCTTAAGAGTGGATTTTCCTTATCTTCCAATTAAAATAATTATAATAAATCAATTCAAAAAAATCATGAAATTTTGTCTAAGTATTCCTTTAACCTAATGAAACCCCTAATAATTTTTTCATAAATAAATAAAAAGAAAATTTAGTTTGGAAAGTCAAATAAATTAATTCCTAAAGGATCTTATTTTCTGAGTTTAAATAAATATTTAAATTAAATTAAATTTTGAGAAGTCCAAATATTCTCCTCTAATATTGTAATTGCCTCATGAATATGACACTCTAAATGCTCAAAGTCATTTGAGTGGTGTTTAATGAGTTATGAGGTGAAGTGCCCCAAGGGCAAAATAGTCATTTTAGACTTTGGTGTCTTAATCAAAATTTAGGATTAACCAAGGGAAAATAGGTAATTTTGATCTTAACAAACATGCTTGGATGATTGAAATATAATGTGAGTAGAAACTCACTCACTACCCTTGCGCAACATCAACAAAATCATAGTTCTTCTAATTTTCATGACTTGGAAGTCAATTAAGATCAAACGATTCTCAAGTGATGGACTTAAACTGGAAAGATGATAATTTACTTTTTTTCTTAAGACCGAAGTTGAGGATGATTTGACTATTTGATAATAATGCATACCACTTAAATTAAAATTTTGATGATAACCATCCACCCATCATGATTATTAAAGGCTTAGTAGTGACCTAGGCTCGATGTCTAAACTCGATTGATTGGATTTAGAAAATAACATGATTTATGATTAAAATATTTAAACACTACAAGCCTGACTTTAATTGTGGGCACCATAATTTTTTTTTAAATGACCTAAACTTGCCACCTAAACTTGCCTTAGGGGCACCCACTCACATAACCTTTAAACGAAACATCAATTGATTAATCAAGTATTCTATCCTCGAGATAATTAAATTATCAGATTTCACTGAGCAACCCAGTCACACTTCAACACCAGATGATTAATGCAACAATATGATAAGTCCAAAATGAACTCGAAATATTTCAAGAGATCTTCATAATGGTCCAGGGTCATGCCTCAAGCATTTTTAAAATCTATTAGTAAAAGCCTCAAGCATTTTTAAAATCTATTAGACATTCTGAAGGGCAAATTGGACTTGCCATGTTTTTGTTATAAAACCATCCTTTGGGATCTTCTGAGATTCAATAAAGACATAACTTGGGGGTTGACAGCTAAACCTTCATCTACTCTTACAATTTAAATTCCCTGCAAAATTATATACATTCTTTGTGAATACTAACCATTCAGGTGGTTCAACGAGAATAATCAGCATGTACACTTTTAAATTAATGCATTTACCTTTTTGTACTTCTCGCATCGAGCTTGCATGTCAAACAACGATGTCACCCTACATTGAAATCAAAACTGCTAGGATAGCCACAAAACCAAAATAAAAATCAAAACTAAAATTAACTAAGTTAAAATTCACCACCACAACATTCAAAATATAGGACAACTAAAAATTTAATCACAAACAACACAAAACAAAAATTATAACTAAATTAAACATCTCTATCAGTGATCGACAATCCCTCGGAGGAGGTAACCTACAGTTGCTAATGAGATTTTCCATGGTCTAAATGAAAGTATGTAGCTCATTAAGTTGAGTTTAACAAATGCATTTGAACTAAGTGAATTTGAAAGAAAATAGTGGTACCGAAATGAGGGAACCGTGAGATCCTAACCATTATCGCTCTAATCAACTTTAATATGCCCCATAACATTTAATGATCATAATCATGGGAACATTTGATTTGACATCATAACCTGACACATTAGATAACTTAAACTCGTCATGGTGAGGAGCTTGGAGCTAGCATTGTGGGCAACACGACCATCTTCATCAGCAAGAGGATCTACAACATCATATCTTTCCTCAGAATTAAATAACAAGTCATAGGATTTTCGAGGTTGTTTGCTTACGCAACATAAATCCTCAACTCATATTTAGACCTTTTATATAGCTCTATTGTACATTATAAGCCCTAACTCGTCTTAGGATTCCGAGTTTATCGTTCGTCACGACCTAAATCCTCACATCTTCCAGACCATTTGTGTGATTGTTTCACATGAATATAAATCATAAACAAATAAAATTGACGGGTTAAAACATTTAAATATTTCTTTCTATTTCTTTCCTAAATTAAAACCAAACATTCGCATAGCTTGAGAAGTCACTGAGGTTCTCCTCAGGATCTGTGACATCCCCCAATTTTTCCTCCTTCAAACTCTACAACAAAATGTTTTAAATTTGACTCATTCCCCTTTCACACTTCTTTGTTCGATTTCATTGAAAAGCCCTATCCTTTTGACATCTTTGAAGATAATATTCCCTGATTTTTATCGAGAGTTTTCTTAGGTGACTTTGGTTATCTAAGATGTAATTAACTATAGGGGCTTGACCTTGTAGGAAGTTTTTTCGAACCCAGCTTAATATGGTCCCTATTTATTTTTTTGTATTAAACAGGGGATTTTTTCGGCAAATAAAATGGTTTTCACAGACCAAATGGATGTCATATATTTCTTAGTTCATTTGATCGAGCCTCACCTTCAAGTCTTGTGTTTATCTTTCGGGATAAAGACAGGGTTTGAGGTATAATGCTCTTTCATTTGAACTATGAAAGATATGTGATCAGTTTGATTTCCTATTTTTCTAAAATTATATAATGTAAATTAAATGTCTTTCCGAAGTGGGCAATGTAATTCCGATTCCGGACGTAATTCCGATTCCGGTGACCGACAACTTCCAACGAGCAACTCCAATGTAATTCCGATTCCGGCAACCGATAACTTCCAATGAGCAACTCCACAACCCAAAAATAGTGCCGACAACACCTTCTAGCCACGAGCCGATATGGACTCTATACAGATTGTTGTTTAAAGGTTCCCTACTAGCGACAAGATCTTTAAAAGGAAGCAAAATTCATCACCAAAGACCATGGTCATCACCCTCCCATGTAATCAAAATATCAGTGCTGGGAGAAAAGATCGATCGGGATTAAAACCCACTCAAAAAATGCGATGGAAATGGTCGAAGGAAATGAAAGTCAAACCAACCGAAGCACTGTGATTAATTAGTTTCTCAGAATTGGTGGGTTGTCCTAGGTAAAACAAAAAGTTTTTTTTTTCAGAAAAAAATTGTAAATATTCTTGTATGATACTAACAAGCTTTCAGGTAAGAAAAAAAACACTATCGAGTAGCTGATTGGTCCTCATTATGGCTATCAAGAGATTCACTCCCACTACCCAAGCCATCAAACTCCTCCAAAATATTAGCAAGATGATCGAGGTTCAAAGCATTGAAATATGATGTGTTAAAAAACTTTCGGTCGACTAAATTGTGGTGAACATATCGCTTGGTATCATACTCGATCCCTAGCCAAAGTTGTTCCGACAACTCCTCCCAGGGAATGGGGGATCCAATCTCCCATTAAGTTCAGTGACCTCTTTCTTCAGTTAATCCTTCCTTTGTTTAGATTACTGTAGCTTCAATGTGGTGAAGTTTCGATCACAAGCCCTCTTAAGATCACTGGCTAGGAAGCCAACTTCTTCGTGGGACTTTAGCAGGCTCTCTTTGACTGTCCTTAAGGAAATTATCATTTTCAGAAAACAAGTCCCAAGTAGTGAGAATCCTAGATCGTCTCCATGTGCGACCGAGCAACGTGCTAATGAAGTTTCTCATAAGAGAGCCCCCTTAAACTCTGTCTGAAATTCCAAAAACCGAGTAATTTCAGCCAAAAGAGCCGACATACGCAAATGATGCCAATCTTTCGAAACATCCAGCAAGCTAAACCATTCATCACCACTCATCCATAGCCATCCTTCAAACCCTACCATAGAATGTTGGCCATGTTCCCCTACTTCCTCTTCAACGAAGAAGGGACAATTTGTCGGTACCCTCCATCGACTTTTTTCCTTCTCAGGGGATAGTTTCCCCTTTTGAAGACGGTGAAGATTCAAAACTAGAAGATGTAGAACTCCAAAGTGGAACTAGCCAAAGTGATAAGAGGCTCAGCCGCTCTAACCCTCTTGACTGAAGCCAGGTGAACGACATTTGATCAAGTTTTATGCAGAGAAGCGACGATCGACTCATATGGAGCAATAGAGGAATGCCCTTCAGCTGCAAGCCCCCTTTGAGCTTCCTCAGAGTCCATCCTCTATCCCCACTTGCCCTATAATAACCGAATGAGATCGCACAATTACTGTTAACTCACCGGTCACCATGTCATAGGGGTAACTGAAGATCAATCCTAAACTAATCCAGGTAGAACACCGTGTCTTTGCTAACATTGTCTATCGAGCGCCCTACTACCAACATCCAGTCAATGGATCTTTGGGTACTTGATTAGTAACTCTCTTTTAGGCTCTCCACCTCCTAGTCCATAAGAAAGGAGGAATCAGCCCGCACGGTGCTGAAGAAAATCTGAGAATACTTCGAAGCCATTGTAGTCAGATGAAAAAAATGAAAGATAAAGAAGGAGAAGAAATTAGAAAACTTGGAGAACAGAATGCAAAACATGAAAAGAGCTACCCCTAACCCAATTTATATAGTGGGTACGTAGATCAAAAAGCCGCATAAAGATAAGTAACACACCATATGTCCTTTTAAATTCTTTCAAAATATTACTTATGTTTAACCTAATATTAGTCATAATATATTATTCATAATTTTGTAATGTCAAAGAAAAATGATACAACTTTAATATATTATTTGTTCATTCAAAATGATAGCCATTATTATTTGGATAAAATGATAGTTCACGTTATATTCTGTTGCCCATTTTACAACTCCTTGACATATTGATTTTCAAAGAAATTGCGGGTTTAACTGCAATTTCCAACGTGGAGCGAGACTCCTTAATACCAACGCATCGGTCGTCGTTTGTCTTGTTCACCACCGGCGATGTTGCCCTATCGGAATCTTGTCGAAGCGGAGGTGGCGCTCGGTAGAAACCTCACGACCTTCGAAACCTTCTGGTTCCATTACTCTGCATTGATGCCCGATTACCTCCTCTACTACCACAACATCGCCTTCCTCTTCCTCATTTTCACACTTGTCCCACTGCCCATCGCCGTTGCAGAGCTCATCAGTCCATCCACCATCGCGCCCTTCAAGCTCCAACCGAAGGTCATCCTCCCGCCCACATCCTTCCTCAAATGCTATAAAGAAGTTCTCCGCGTCTTCTTCTTCGTCGTCGGCCCTCTCCAGCTCATTTCATACCCCTCCGTCAAGGTAATTCTCCTTCTTTTTCCATTCTTATTCTTGAATTCGGACATTTTTCTTGTTGGATTGGAATGCATTTTTATTAAATCCTTGATTGGATTTTGATTTTGGTTTCGTAGTTGGTGGGGATCAGGACCGGGCTACCATTGCCGTCATTGTGGGAGATAGTGGCGCAGTTGGTGGTCTATTTTTTGGTGGAGGATTATACGAATTATTGGATCCATCGGGCCATGCATTTGAAGTGGGGTTACGAGAAGATCCACCATGTGCATCATGAGTTCACGGCGCCAATGGGGTTCGCGGCTCCGTACGCGCACTGGGCGGAGGTGCTTGTCCTTGGAATTCCCTCGTTCCTTGGGCCAGCTTTGGCTCCGGGGCATATGATCACTTTCTGGCTCTGGATTGCCCTGCGCCAGATTGAAGCCATCGAGACGCATAGCGGGTATGGGTTATGATTCGTTGATAATTAATGCTTCTGCCTTACTGTTTTTTTTTCCTTTTTTAAATTTATTATTTGAAGAATGTTGGTGGGTGGATTGAATTAAAGAGGTTTTACTCTATTTTTCTTTTTGACTGATCTGATAACTATGGTTGGCATTATGTCTATGTAATTAAAGTTACAATTCATGGGGTAAAGTACTCTGGTTGGGTCACTGCATGTGTTTTCTGTATTGTCTGTTTTGAGTGTAAACAATATTATTCCCACTAGCTTCACGATTAATGATATTCTCAAGTGGTCGATTTTTACTAAATCATAGGTGCCTGGCTACCTAGCTTGACTTGCATGATTTGTGTGCCACACAACAAGATGGATGATATTGTAAAAGTAAAGAGAAAATTAAAGAGATGGAAGGAATTAATTGTATTTCTCATGTCATTTAAGCAGATGAATTTCACTATTCATAATCATGAAACTGATGGCTAAGTGTGCTTGCAAGCGACTAGCAAGGAATAAAGTAATTAACAGAATGTTGTATGGACATAATATTGTCATAATGGAAATAAATATCATAAAAAACAAATTAAATGCTATAGCACTTCTATCTCAATCATCCAAACTTTATTTATCTCAAAATTATGTCCATCTTAATTTATTGATAAAAATCTAGAGTTATTTTATTGTGAAAAATGTTTAATGTCAAAATACACTTAGAATACTTATCCTAACTATCCTTATAAAGTCCCGTAACCTTTTTCTATCATTAATGATGGCCTTTAGGGACCATTTCATGTCACTATTCTTTTGGGCTAAGTAGATCATCTTCTCTGTTGACGATCACTTTAAAATCACTTAAATTTTCTTAATAGAAAAATTCTAAGATTTATCATGTAGAAAAGAATTTTTTTTCTCTTTTAATAAGCTCAATTTAAAACCCAAATCCAAAATGAATTTTTAATGCAGAATTCATCATCTAAGGCTAAGCTGGTTGCAAAATAATTTATTCAGAATTATGGCCTTCTCAAGAGCGCTCATGAAATTTGCAATGAACAGGGAAGTATTATTCACAATTTATAGCTTTGATAATTTTATTGATAAGATCACAGATTGCAAAATTTTAGGAGCTAATAAAGTTGAGTTTAGGGATATGGAGTTTGAGATTTTGATTATTTCAATTTCTTTTCTGTACCGATATATTTTATGATATAGAGAGATATCTCTAGTCATGTAAGTTAGTGCCTTAAGTCCCTAATTCTTGATTAGGTTGTTTTAATTTTTGAATCAAATGCATGCATAGGCATGTTTTTAAGCAATTGCCCAATGTTGATATTAGGCGTCCCTGAGTTAGTTTGGAGTTGGTTGAACACCTTTTCTTAACATCTCCATTTGCTCTTGACTGAATGATGCTAGTGTGGATTAAATTGGTGATTTCAAAACTTTCTACTTTTTGGTTACTCAGAAGCCGCGACTTCTTTTTTCAAGTTTCCAATCATAAGGATTCTTTTTGGGAAGAGTTCACTCCAATGTTTTTTGTAAGGAATTTTTGTTGGATATATGTGTATCTTGGGAGGAGAGTGCAAAGTTTTGTTAAGAAAATGGGGTGCCTTGCTCTCCTATAGTGATCTTATTACTAATATTTCCTTGTTTGTACGTTAAAGAATGCTTTTTGAATGGATGGGAGGATTTTTTATTCAATTTCCTACCTTCAACCTCACCATGATTTTGTTAAGATCGAGAAGGAAGCTGGATATATTATCTTTCTCAATTATTTTTGATACTTGGTTGCCTCTTCAAGCACTCCTGATCTAGTTTTTCTAAGACATCCATTCAATGCCAAAACACATTAGGAGTATTACAAGATTAACCAATGAAAAAATAATCTAGTCGAATAGAGGGTACCTTTGGTTTCATATGGCTAGGAGGTATTTTAATTGTCCAAGCATTTTTTTTTCATGCATCTCAAATCTCCTTTGTTGGGAACAAAACTTAAAATTTTTGCCAATTTTACTTTTGAAGGTGTTAATAAACTAGTATATAATCAATTAGTTTTTAGATCTTAATAATTTGAACTTTTGATCTTACTTTTGAGGGGCACACTAATGAAATAATCATCCTCGCCTTTTTTGTTTATGAAAATCTTAAATATTTTGGCTCATTTGTAATAGTTTTGCCTATTCAGCTTATGCCGAATTAATGTTAGATTATAGAAGCTTTATAGCCATGAATGATTGTTTCGTGGTTGGAGGTAGAGTAGGAGGATTTTTTATTGGAAGCCAATTTTTGTTTTACCACGATCATGGTTTAAAGTAAGAAAGAACTTGGAGAGAAAAGATGGGGTTACAGGACATTGCTTTGATACTAAGTTAAGAATAAAGAGAGAAGTAAAATACATAAGAGAGGATTTCATTGTATTTTTTTTTTCAATGAAGTAGCCAAAGTACTCTATTTATAAGCAAGCAAGAGACACTTATAGGGGCCTATCAAGAGACAATCAATGAAGGAACTAATTGTGAAAAATTATTGCAAAGAATCTTTTTTCTTCTAACAGAAATAAAAAACATGAAAATAGGGCAGATGAAAGTAAATGCACAAGGGAGATAAGCTGCTTTGAAATTCTAGTCTTGAGGTTCAGGAGAAAAGTGCCCCATATATTTTCAAAGGACTTATATTTGATCGTTGAAATGCTGAGCTTGATTAGTAGAATTGATTGTTGATTCACTAGGGAGGCTTGTTTTTTTTTTTTATTCTTTAATATTATTTAATCACTGCATCATCATGCAATGTTCTATTAGGGAATGGAGCAGTAATTTTTGCCTTCAATTCATCAATACTTTATTTAATGAGCGGTTTTTGGGAGTTTAAAGGTTGAAATACTAGAATGTTTTGAAATACAAACAAAGTCTTATGTTTTGATCATTGAGTTTTCTACGCTTCTTTGTATTGTCAATAATATAAAGTTTCTATAATGCTTTCAGATTTTACGTTGGTACCATTAAATGTGGTATGCTAAGGAAAATCAAATTAATGAGGAAATAAAGAGGTTAGGCCAGTTTTAAATAGATTTACACTAGTTTAAGCCTTGAAAGAAACATTGGCAGTTATGCATAATTTCAAGCATTTGTATACCTAGTCATAGTAACAAATTTAGTATCCAGGTAAATACCCTTAAAGCCAATATTTTCTTAATTTAGGGATTCTTTAAGGTGATATGGCTACTTGACAACCAAGTTGTTAGGAACATCATAGACACCCTTGGAAGTAAAGTGAGACATCAAAAAAGTAGCTATAAATTGATAAGTCTATTTTAGTTTTGTGGAATATTTTTGAAGAACATATAATTATGATGACCAAAGAATATTTTGTAAAATAACAACTTTCTAAGATTTGTTGCATTTTGAGTTCAAAAGCATTGTTAAATAGCTTCTATCATGTAACTACTCAGAAGGCATGTGTAAATTGCTTATAAAGTGAAAAAAACATAAAAGCGTTGTTTTCATGGCTAGGAGAGACGCTAATCTTTTCCATTTTATATTCCTTCATCCATACTCGATAATCTCTTCTCCTTCATTATTTTTCTTCAATCTTTTCCTTTTTCTTATTGAAATCCTCGATATTTACTTCCCATGAACTTCAAGGTCATTTTCAAAACTTTTGATCAAACATTTTTCTACTCTGTATCCATAGTTCTATTCTAATGCTCTTTCTACATCAACCCATGCCAAATTTTTATTACAAAAATTAAAACATAATTTGTATTTCAAGTTTCTATTTTTTATTTTTTATTTTATTTTTATTATTTTTTTTATAATTCAAAGTGATATTCTCATTACTTGGCACCTTGAGAGAATGCTCATTACGCAATTCCTTAATAATAAATCCATTTGAGAGCTGAGCAACACATTATAATATGGACTTGCCTCACATTAAAGACTTCTAGGAAAGCATCTCATTTGTCTTTACTAGTATTGTTTCATGGAAGTTGTCATCATCGTGATGGAAAAAAAATCATGTTTTTATAATGCGCATTCAGAAAGTGATCTAAATACTTTGGGAAAACAAGTAAGAATTCTCTCTTCAGGAGGCTTCTTCAAGTATAATATTTTGATGACGTTGTTCTTTTAGATAAAATAAGTGTATATCCCCATGTTTTAGCCCTTTTTTATGCGGATCTGTGAAGGCATGCCTAGCGGAGGAGGACGCTGGCGTGGAAATATTATTACTTTGAGATGTAAAAATTTAAGCAAACATTTTATTAATTTTGATTAAGACAACTCTTAAGACTGCTTGAATAAAGTTAGAAATGTGATTAGTTGTAATCAATCATAACATTAAATTTGTTGTAAACTCTAAATCAAACTAAGTAACAAATTTTTGTTTAATGGTGATATGTATGATTATGCTAGAAAGCACAAATCCTTAAATTTATTTGAAGTCGCATAAATTAAAGATGTTCCCTTAGTTGTCTCAATGATGCTGAGCGAACATCCTAAAGCAAATTTAAAAGCTTTTGATTACTTTTTAGTTATAGAAACTTTTGATTTGCTTTGAGTGAATATTAGTGATATTCACTTGGTCATCTTATCAATGTGTGTTTTTCACAATCATAAACTTTATGTTTCATTGTATTTCAAGTTTAAAAGCCTACCTATACAGGTTATTTTAATGTAAATTGCTGAATAAGCATGTGTAAATAACTTGAACAATTTAAATACTAAATGTTTGTAATATTCATGTCCTAGGGATACAGTAAAAGTTGATGCGGTTTATTTCATCTTCATCTTCTTTGGTGCACTCTTTTCCATTATGTTGTCTTTCGTTTATTCTCTTTGAACTAATTCTCTTAATCCTTAATGTTTACTTCGATTGAATTCGAAAGTCTTGCACCTGCATGTGGTTTAAATTCTTTTCTAGTTCATACATTGTTTATTAAACATTTGGTTCTCTTTCTACAACCATATGGTCTTGCTATTACCAAAAATTACTCATCATCCTCATTTAAAAAGCCATCTCGCATATCATGATAGAGTTGTTAGCTTCATTTGTAAGGTGCCTCGAGGAAAAATGTTTCTTTTGACATCCTCCTTTTTTAAGAAGATTCTCAAATGAGTGGCCTTGTCCTACTTTCTTGGGTGGCCAGGCAAGCAGCCAGCTTATTGTCATCATAAAAAATGAATTATTTTAAAGATTTTTTTTTTTATAAGACTCCTATATAGGGGAGGCTTTTGCTCAACCTTTTCACAAGTCAAGTAAGAGTTCTTGGTTCAAGTGGCTTCTCCACATACAATTGTAATTTATCATTCTAACAATATTGTTACTTTTGGATGAAAAGGGCGTAGCCAGCATATGAGCCTCTTACCAATTTAGAATTCAGGACAATGTTGCTAGTACTTGATTCTCTGAAAACAACAACATTGTTTGAGCTATTGGAGGGTCAAATAGATGTTTGCTAAATATTTGATTGACTTCTTCAAGTTATTCGAATAAATTTAGATCCTACAGTGGGGGCAATTTTATGCGCGAGATTGTGGTACGCTAAGTTCAAAATATGTCATTTCATCGAAATTAATTATTTATATGGATTCCACATTGATACCAAAAAATATTGTCTTCTGGTTGCATCTTGTGCAAGAACCTGTTTAGAAATGTAAATTTATTTTCCAAATTGGTTAAAATCCTATGCTAGTTGTTAAACTCTTAAAATTTATCAATGGAAATTGCGTAAAGCATTTCTTTGAAATTTCGTAATGCCTTTTCTTGAAATTTCGTATAAATACTAATATTTAGTAGTTCTTTGAGGATGTATTCATTTTTTTTTGCTTTGCGGTGGCTCACAGTGCATTATATCATTTTATTTTGAGATAACAAGCTATTTGGGTCCATAAAATTCACTTGTGCTGGTTTGATCGACCATCCTGTTTGCACTTGTGTATATAAACTTAGCATTTTACATGATTGAATCGACTTTTATTAAAAAGAAGACCAAATACTTGAGAATAATGCAAAAGAGGATAATTATGTTAATTTTACCCTTCACTTGATAATCAAACGATTTAATTTCACCATCAAAATTAGGCTGATCCTTCTCGTTGGATCCTTAACTTCTAAACTTCAGTACTCTTTTAGTTTTCTTTTCTACCACTGCAATATTTCGGTAGGGACTAATGATTATAATTACAACGATAATTTTTTTTCTTAAATTTGTACTATTTTGATTTTTTTTTCTCTTGCTCATTATTGAAAAAAAATAAAATAAATTCTTATATTTTATTATTATTTTTCAATAATGTGCAAGAAAAAATAAAATATAAGTAGTTATGTTATACAAATTAGTTTAAATGTAAAAGCTTAGAGAACTGGGAGAAATATAAGGTGGCTCATAGGGAGTCTAAAAGAACAATTTGTAACGCTAAAAATTTTATTTTTAGTAATTTTTATAATAGATTGGATACTAAAGAGGGTGAAAATAATATGTACAAAATAAAGAGAAAAGATAAGTAAAAAAATTAATTCAAGTGTATTAAAGATGAAAATCAAAATGTATTTTTCTTAGAGGAAGTTATTCAATATATGTTTGTGAGCTATTTTGATATACTTTTCCATGAAGTTTTTAAAAATATGATCAACCTTATTGATCTTAATATCGCTAATAATAATAAAATATTTACTTTTTACCGTCGTATTAGTAAAAAAAAAGTTGAGGAGACTTTAAAGAAAATCAAGGATGGAAAATCAGTAGGAATTGATGATGTTCCAATTGAAGTGTGAAAATGTTTAGGAGATTTGAGAGTTTCTTAGCTTATTAAACTTTTTAATATTATTCTAAAAGCTAAAACGATGTTTGAGGAGTGGATGAAGAGTATTTTGGTCCCCATTTTTAAGAATAAAGAGGATCTACGAAAGGGGGTGCATATTATAGAAGAATTAAGTCGATGTGTCATACTTTAAAATTATGGTTTTGATTTTTTTTTTTCTCTTGCTCATTATTGAAAAAAAAAATAATAAATTCTTATATTTTATTTTATTTTTCAATATGTGCAAGAAAAAAATAAAATATTAGTAGTTATGTTATACAAATTAGTTTAAATCTAAAAGTTTAGAGAACTGAGAGAAATATAAGATGGCTCATAGGGAGTCTAAGAGAACAATTTGTAACGCTAAAAATTTTACTTTTAGTAATTTTTATAATAGATTGGATACTAAAGAGGGTGAAAATAATATGTACAAACTAGCCATACAAAGAGAAAAGATAAGTAAAAAAATTAATTCAAGTGTATTAAAGATGAAAATCAAAATGTATTTTTCTTAGAGGAAGTTATTCAATGTATGTTTGTGAGCTATTTTGATATACTTTTCCATGAAGTTTTTAAAAATATGATCAACCTTATTGATCTTAATATCGCTAATAATAATAAAATATTTTATTTTTACTGTAGCATTAGTAAAAAAAGATTAAGTTGAGTAGGCTTTAAAAAAAACTAAGGATGGAAAATTAGTAGCAACTTATGATATCCCATCTTAATTGTGGAAATTTAGGAGATTTGGAGTTTCTTAGTTGGCGTATTAAACTTTTTAATATTATTCTAAAAGCTAAAATGATGTTTGAGGAGTGGATGAAGAGTATTTTGGTCCACATTTTTAAGAATAAAGAGGATCTACGAGAGAGTGTGCATATTATAGAAGAATTAAGCGATGTGTCATACTTTAAAATTATGAGAGAGGGTAATTGAACGCAGGTTAATATGTGATACAAAGATTTCTCATAATCAGTTTGGATTTAAGTCGGACATGTCTACTATGGAAGTTATATATTTATTGAGAGGTTTGATGGAGAAGTACAGAGAGTAAAGCGGATTTACATATGATTTTTATTGATTTAGAAAAGCTTATGATAAGGTTCAAAGAGAAGTCCTTTGGAGAGTTCTAGAGATGAAAGGTATTGATATGACTTATATTCAAGTCATTAATGATATGTATATTTTAGTTGTCACTTCTGTTCGAACAGAAGGAGGATTGAACAAGTATTTTCTTATTTAAGTTGGATTACATCAGAGATCGTCTTTAGGCCCATATCTTTTTGCTTTAGTTATGGTCGCTCTTATTGGACACTTACAGGGGTATGTACTGGTGTATACTTTTCGCTGATGATATCCTTCTTATGGATAAGACTAAAGAAATAGTTGAGACAAATTTTGAATTATGGATGTCTACATTGGAGTCTAAAGGCCTTCGTTTGATTATATCTAAAACTAAATGTGTGGAATGTAATTTTAGTAGCAGTAACTCTAGGGGCAGAGTTGTAACTATGGGTGATCAAATCATTAGAAGGTGTGAACATTTTAGGTATCTTGAGTCTATTATTCAAAATGATGGTGATATAAATGGGGATGCTATTAGTATAATTCAAGTCGATTGGTTGAAGTAGAGGAATTCAATAGACCTATTGTGTGATAGAAAAGTATTGCTTAGACTTAAAAAAAAAATTTATAAAATGTTGGTGAGACCTGCAATGCTCTATGACACAGAATGCTGGCCTTTAAAAGAGAAGCATAAAACAAAGTTCAGTGTTTCTGAGCTGAGAATGCTTAGGTGGATTAGTAGATTGACGCTTAGAGGCAAATTACGAAATACATATATCCATGGTAGGGTTAGTGTAGCTCCAATGGCGAACAAAATGAGAGAGAGCCAACGTCGACCATCTGATGATCCAATTAGTAGAGTAGATGTTTTAGATTCGACTAATGTTAAGAAAAACAGAGGTATACCTTAGAAGACATGGGCATATTGTATAAAAAATGATCTTAATTTATTAGAATTAAATGAAATTATGACACTCAATAGGAAACAATGGGAAATGAGTCATGTAGCCGGCCCCACTTACTGAGATAAAGGCTTGTTGTTGTTGTTGTTGTTATTGTTGGTTTTAGAAATTAATATGCTCTTTCATTTTAATTTTATTTGTTAATTATTTTATGCACTGCAATGTTGTCATTAACAAGTTTACTTTATACAGTTATGACTTTCCCTTCAGCCCTACAAAGTTTATTCCTTTCTATGGAGGTGCGGAACACCATGATTATCACCATTATGTTGGTGGGCAGAGCCAAAGTAACTTTGCATCGGTATTTACCTATTGTGACTACATTTATGGGACTGACAAGGTATTCCTAAAAGCAATTATATTCAGCAATGTTTATGAGTGCTTTTGAAATGGAATCTTGTTGCTAATGCTTCAGTATACCCTTTTTATCCAGGGCTTTAGATTTCAGAAAGCACATCGTGCAAAGGTAAATTCACATTCTCCTGCCATTATGTTCTTGATTTTGAGGCTTTTAATCTTTTAGCCTTATATAACATTGAATGGATGCTAAAGGGTTCAATAAATTGACAAACTTTTGTTCATCACAATCGGAGAAAACCCTTCTAATATTTTTATTAGATTGAAAATGTATAAGAATTTTTCGAATTACTGAAGCTTTTTCGCAGCCATTTAAGTTTTTATGTTCAAGGGCAAATTTAGTTGGTTGTGGGTAGAAATTATTGTTTTAGAAAATGATTCTTTAGTTTTTCATTCATTTGATTTATGAAATATATTTCAGCATATTTAAGGTATCTTAAATTAATGATCATATCCAACCAGATGGTACCTTTTTCAAATTTAATGATTTCTTAAACTATTTTTCTTCTCTATAGGCAATCAAGTTGGTACAAAATATCATTATCTGTAGTCAAACCTCTCATGCCACCTCAACACCTACATGGTAAAAAAATATAATGGCTAAGCTTTTATGGTATCCATTACAGAACAAAAGTGGAAAAATATGGACAAAAAGAACTCTTAAAATCGAAAATCTCGGTTGAACATTAACTGAAAGTGCAAATTTTGGTCTTATCGACCTTCAAAATACATTTCCTTATGTAGGTATTTTAAATAAAATAATATTTGTAGTTTCATAATACGACGTAATAATGGTAACTTGAGCGCTACCAAATCTTTAAATTTCAGCTACAGAAACATATGATTTGGTTCTAAAAATGAGCACAGCATAATTTTCATATGATTGGAGTCATCATCTTTAATGCCTTTCAGTAATATCATTTCTTTTTTTTTTTGAATCTTATTTCTTTCCATGTTCGATGCCAACTTTGTTCTTTCTTGTAACAGTTGAGAGAGCAGTGGATAGCAGGGGAACAGAACGAAATAGACATCTCAAACCACAAAGGCAAGTTTGAGTAGATCCAAATTTTATCTTTTTTGTTTGTTCTGGCTGCACTTGGAAGTTTTGGTTACTGATGTTATGCCAGGCTGGTTGTGTCTATTGGTAATATTATATATTGATTCATGTGTTTGCTTCCTATCAAGTTGTATTAAACCCTACCAAATACTAAAGAGATATTGTTGACCTAATTCTCTAGAACTTGCATGAATTTGTAGCTTTTTTTTTTATGTGCCTCTCTGCTTTATTCTAAACTTTGATTTGATAATATTAGGTATTAAACAGTAATTTAGCTGTTATTCTTCTTGCATAAATGAATGAATTATTTTGCATGCATGATGATTGTATGCTTGGTGTTTTGAGTAATCATGGAGCTTCCAAATAAATGTATGTTGAATGTTTTGTTCCGTGTGCGCTCGCGTAATATATTGGTTGAAATTAAATTGAAGAATCTTGAAGTGTCAGATTTGAATGCTCATCCTGCCAAAAAAATGGGCATATACATATATACCCCTCAATTCCTATATATTTACATATCTAGCACCAAAATTGTGCTTTTCACATTTATACCATCCAAATCTTTCATATCATATAAAAAATATCACCGCTTTAACTTTTAAAAAGATAAATATATGTTTTCATGAATGGATAAAGTGGTATGTATGTAAAATATGCAAGTTTAGATGTTAAAATATGTAAATACATTGGAATTGAGTGTTATGTATGTAAATCTTCAAAAAAAAAAAAAAAAAAAATTTAGGGTTGCTTGTGATACTTAAAATTCGTTTTTCCTAAAGAATTGAATTTAGGAGGTGACGAAATTCTCTATTATTGAAGAAATCTAGCAGCTGAGGCTTTAAAGTCAAAATAGCATTATGGGAGGGGCTAAGATTCTCTCCAATTATCATTTCCCCATCATCTACTTCAAATTCTTCTTGATTGATATGAGAAACAAACAATGGTGATTCTAGCCATTCATAGTAAATTGGATGGTTGTGCACCGTGTAGTTCGAGAAATTATTACATCAGGACAACTGACGCAAGCAAATTTGCGTCAGGTGTCCAATTAAAATGGGTCACATTAAAATGTGGAACCTACTGAAATACACTGGTTGGTTGTTTTTTAAAAGTATGGGACCCATCTTAACACGTGGCCAATTTTAATTGGACGTCCTGATACAATATTGCATCTGATGTAAGGTTTTATTGAGTATTATGAGAAATGTGCAATCAATTTCTTAATTTCAATTTATTTTCATAAGAGAGAGTTCGCTCTTGTTTCGAGCGTTAAGGGGGGCATAGTGTTATTTTTTATGTTTGTTAATTCAAATTTTATGTGGAGCTTTTTCATGTATTTTTTTTCCTTTGGGGGTTGGAGGCCCTGCTAAAATTCTTAACCTTTTATCCTGCGTGTCCGTCAACTATTGCTACATTACTCGTTTGGTGATGCCAAGAAAAATCTCTCAGATTATTTATTGTTATTGAAAAGTTTAGTGTTAAAAAAATTATTAAACAAAAATTAAATGCATACACAGATATGGTCAGAGGCTATTATATGGGATGTCATAGAATTGTCTAATATTAGTTGAGATCTGACCTTAAAAAAATGATATTTCGTCTAATATATGAATGGTCAGAGGCTATTATATGGGTCTCCAACCACTCCTAATATACCTAACAATCCGAGTAAAACTTTTTTAAGGTCAACTGTGCCGGAGGGGATTCGAACCGCCGACCTGAGTGACCTTATATGGTGGATGCTAACCAACAAGCTAGAGTACGCGGCAGCCTTTAAACATATATATATATATGTATATTTATATGTTGGATCCTCTATAGAATTCTAGGTTCTATATGGCATTCCAGATTTTTTGCTCTTTTATCCCTAGTAATTGATATCCATACTGAATCATACTAGAGAGATCACAATTAATGTACTTTTGTTGTTTACTCTCTCTCTCTCTCTCTCTCTCTCTCTCTCTCTCTCTCTCTAGCTCATACTCCAAAGGAAATCTTACCATATATGCCTGTAATGTTCAAAATTAGAGAAAATGTCTTGTTCTATTTCTAGCGAAATATGCCTGAAAGGCTGTTTCGAATTAAAACACATCCAAACTTCAAAGAAATGCGACCTTTTTATATGAACGAACCTTCATGCTTAAAGGTTCCTTGATTTTTCATATTCTGTCTTCCTTATTTTCAAAGATTATCATTGTGAGTAATGATTCTACAAGCAAACTTTTTACGCTAAGCTCGTGTCCTCATCTCCGAGCTATTTAATATTTATAATGTTATATATATATATATATATATATATATGCGCCGCGTACAGAAATCAGTTGGTCGGACATCTGTTTGTCAGTTGTAAATACCTTCTGGTCAGGGGTTCGATTCCCCCCGAGAGTAGGTCCTCAAATTATAGGTGCATATGGGATGATTGGGGCTCGTATGATAGTCTTTGGCCATTTCTTTTTTAATATATATATATATATATATGCATGTGTGTGTGTATGATCTAGATTTAAAAATTTTATTTACATTTTGAACGTTCAATTGATAAAGATAGTAGATAATTGATTATTAGTTTGAGCTTAATTAAAACTTGTTAGAATTTTGAAACATTAATCTAACAAAAGAAGAAGGTTGGTGCCAATTCAGATAAAAAAAAAAAAAAGGTTTGAATATTTTTCAAGAAAAATATTTTTTTTATTCAAGTAAAATATATTTTTTAATTCGAATATATTTTTTCCCAACTAAAATACAAATGTGATTCATGTTTTTTTTTTTTTTACTTTTCCTAACTATTTTGAAATTAACTCAAATATCTTGTTATATATGGACCTGTTTGGGAGTGTAATGAAAAAAAGGTTTGATAATTTAAGGCTAACAATTTTTTATTTGTTAATAGTAGTAATATTACATTTGTCATTGCTAAATTTTAAATTAATAAGTATTTGAATATGCAATTGAAGATCAATGTAAAGGTGGGTGTTTTGTTTTAGAATTTTTTTATCATCTTTAAATTAATTTTGATAACCCCAATTTTTAGCTTGGTAGCTTGATCTCATACTTTCAAATTTTAAAAAAGATCTAATATTTATTAATAAGAGTGATTTCAATCTTGATGATATTTAAGGGCGCATTTTATAAAGTCTCAAATATGCCTGTAATAATAGATTTTGGTATTTTATAGTGATTCAATCATAGTTAGATCTAGTGTTGCACACCTAAAAGAAATATTCACCCAAAAGAAAATTACGAATATTAAATTGCCAACTAGATTTCTAGGAGAATAGCAAATTAAACTTAAAAAAAAATCACCATATTGATTCTGAGAGAACTTGCCAACCAGGTTCATGGTGTCAACTTGCCAACAACAATTTGAATTCACTTACCGAAACAAAGGAAAAAAAATCTCAAGGCGTAAGAATTTGTCTAAAATACACAAGCAAATTCACAAAAACATCTAGCTTAAGTAGCCACCTACCCTTCGAACAGACAACCTTCCCATATTCTTATGAAACCAAATAACATTTTTTCATCCAACAATCAACTATTAGTTTGATTTCATGTAGGCAATTAGTCTGCACACCTTATATATTTTCCTTTATTTATTTATTTTCTTGTAGTGCTTTTTACCATATATTCTCATCTATAAATAGAGAATCTAAGAGGGAGCAAAGAATTTTGTGTTGTGTCTTTTAATTAAACCCTTTTAAGCTAAAATAATTGTTATCTATTCCTCTGCTTACAACTCTTTTTTTAACTTTTCCAACTTAGTAAAATTTTAACATAAACTATTAAAATAGATGTCAACATTATTTTAAGTGTGATGAGCATGGAAAAATAGCAACAACTAGAAGGAACACACAAAGATTTACTAAAGGGCGTAGTAGACAAGCAACCAAAAAACATCAACCAAGAGAAACCTTTATAAACATGCAAAGACATTTATTTTTTATTACTCAACAACAAAGTAAAAAGGATGAATGATTAGGTTAAACGATCCAAAGCACCTTGGATTTGATCACAAGAACTATGCCAAGAGTAAAACAATTTAAAGAGTAAACTATCATGATGGTGATGAGGAACGTGAGAGTAAGAGCGATGCGATCCCAAGACGAGATTTATTATCCAAAATTAAAATAAAAGGAGTACCTCAAAACCTCTTTAATGAGAATAACAAGTGGAGAGAAAATACTGCAATTGATAAATGACTTTTTCAAAGATAATGCCAAAGCCAAATGGCTTCCAATTTTGAGAACTCGCAAGTGAACAGTTACTAATGATGGATTAATACAATGAAAAACATAGCTTACTTTGAATGAATTGTCTCATTAATAGATAAATAAAAAAAAATTCTAAAGTGTTAGTTATTCTTCATGATCTTTAAGAAATAGGCCTTTATATATTATTCTTGCTTAGCATTAGTTATAATTACGTTATTTGTTAAGTCAATATGATGTTTATAACTCAATTTGCTAACATTCACTGTCCCCATAAGAACTCCTAGGATTTATTAAAAATGTGCCAAGAGTTTGGCGAGTTGCATAGATGCTTCATTAATAATTTTATAGAGAGATGATCAAGGTTAAAGACTTATAGTCTATTGTGGATTAAATTTTCCTAACCTAATGTCTTTATAAGGAACCATTCAGTTATGCACTTGATTCATATCTATCAAGTATACTAGTCATGTTAATGGAACTTGCAAACACTCATGTGAACACAGAGGAATACAATCAGAAAGTAGAGGCATCATCCTCAAGTTAACTCCAAAGTCATTATTGAGTGAAGAAAGTAAGGTCACTTACTTAAAAATAATTTAATAATTCCAAGCTTCTACATCTAAATTTTACTCATTATTGGCCATATAACATCTTCATCAACCTTAGTCAGTGTACCATCAGTTAAGTTTTTTTTGGGAGACATGATGACTATAAGAAGATAAAGTTATCATTAAAAACACCATATTCTTATCATTTCCCTATAGTCGCCTCATTATGGGCATTCACAACCAATTTAATAAAATCATTTAAAAAAAGGAGTACTTTTGCCACCTTTAACTTAAATAACTAGCTCCCACTTAAGAGATATGATTAGATATCTTTTCCTTCATGTTATATTTTCTTGGGTAATTTATATTATTTAGTAAGCAGCTTATTAAGCTAGCCTCAAGCAATTAAGTTGAAGAGAGGTGAACTCAAACATAATAATACTGTCATCCATCACTGAA